ATACACCGATCCGCCACCGAATTTCATTGGCGTGTGTAATAAATGCCCGATGATTCATGCGGCGCGATACCATTCACAGTACGCGCGAAAACGCTTGGGATTCAATGACAAAATCGAACGTGCCGAATCGCGGAAACGAAGCCTATAGCTTATAGATAAATAGACGTGTTTGCTCGGAAACGTTTTCATTTTATTCCTATTTCGCGGCAGTTTCCTGTTGAAACCTTCGTGGTTAATCTCAGTGAACTCCTGTACAATTTTAGAACTAAACAAAGCCGAAGAAACTTTATTACTAAAAATTAGCGGATATTTGTTTGAAACTATCACGAGTATTAATAATTTTGTATTATATTATTCACAAGTCGTTATATGTATCTAACATTCAGATATTACGAGACGCAGATCTGTGATCGACGATTCGTCTTCACGAATTATTTCCATACGTCGATAACAGTTTTACAGGCGAGAAAAATACGAGCGTGATAGATAAAACGTTATACTATATATAGGTGTATATATACCTAAACATATGCGAGAGACCGACTGGATTTGAAGTTGTCGGTCCATTAGCGATGTTTTGCGCGAGCAAAGTGCGTGCGCGCACAGCTGTTACGGCGTAAACCACGCTTATATCTGCCAAGAGCAACAGGAGAACGCGGTGCGTGTGCATCCAAACAGGAGGCGGAAAAGACTACGGGGAAAGGAAGACGGCGGATATTACGTTACTCTATCGGGATCAATCGACAACGGCCTATACCGTTAAATATAACGAACCTAACTTCCTTGTTTCAAAGATCACTCTCATTCCATGCCGCCGTCATAAACAAGCCTAATCGCGACGACAGAAATAGCGAGCTCAAGGCATGGCTGTCCGTCAGAACAAAAAAAAAGTATTATTGTTTGGTGCAGAGTGAAAAGAATATACGTCTTAACTTCGCAAAAAAAATGATTGATGCTATATGCATCCATCTTGCGTCCAATTTGCATTAGCCTTCAGTTTCTTCCACTTCTTTCTTTTAATTCCGTACTCATAAAATATTTTTTTCTTTATTGTTTTAATTCTTATGATTGATGTGTTATTTGTTTATCTCTGTAGAATTTAATATTTATTAACTATTTATTAAAACATTTGTTACATTAAATCAAAAATCAAATGTATTAATAATGCGAAACATTATGTCAACGACATATATATATGCGATGTGCGGGTGTATCTACCGTTATGTGGACAAGCTCTAGAGCCAACTACAAATACAATTTAATATTCACGCATAGTCGGTTAACTGTCCGATTTCACGATATTATTTTCGGATATTATTTTCGTGATTTCTGTTCCAATCTACATTTCGTAAACACTTCTATTAGACGTAACATTATTCTCGTTTCGCTCCGACGATCGCGAGCTGTTTTCAAATTAATGCGATTTTCACCTAACAAAACCGAGTAAAATAAACACGGTAAAAAAAAAAAAAAAAAATTATTTTTTCAACAAAATTTAACGCATATCAAAAAAATGTGTGTATTTTTTTTTATTGAATGTTATTTGACGATATCAAACTATGCTTCGAAACATGGCTTATTAATCATATGATTTTGTTGATGTTACAAAAGCAGATCTAAAAGTTCGCAAACAGGCGGCGTAGAGCATGATCTACGAGAGGATGCACGTAATCACGACGACGTAATGCGTAAGCTTGTAACCGCGTGTGGGCGGTTCGCGCGTAAGACTTCCACTCGAAGGCGTCAGTGTGGCAGACGCATAATACGTATATTCGACGGTCGTACGAGAAATAATCCATAGGTGTGAGGGTGTCGCTGCCGTTTGGAGTCCGGCCAGAAAACGAGGAGGTGGACCATGTGGGGGGAGGGAGGGGACCATCGCCCACGCTTCACGCATACCGTGCCGATAAATAATCGAAAGAGTCGTCCAGAACTCGCAAACTGCCAAATTCTCAATTCTCGCGAACGACCCGCTCGTCGCGAATCCTGCGAAGGTCGCCGCAATGGACGAGATCTATATTCGATTTTTCTTCGTTTACAGACATCGTAAAAATACGAGTGTAGCAGCCGCGGCAGAACGACGATGGTGATAAAAGACGACGAACGCGATAATAATGACGGGCGAAAATTGATGAAGCGCTCCACCTGTTAGCGCACGTCCGCGCGATCGCACCCTCGCGCCTCAGACTGGTCTAGATTTACAGCGTTTATACACACGATAAACTCCAAGTCGCTTAAAAGAGTTGCTCTTTACAAACCATTTACATAGATCTACGCTGGCGCGCGGGGCATTACTCGCCCACCAATGTCCCGAAATTCTCTGACCTGCTCTCATAATATTTGGACGTGGCATTCTTTCCACGCTGCGCTATTGACTGCCGGCGCTCGCGGTTGAGCGGGTCGGTTTTAGGAAACGATTAATCACATCTGTGTTTCGATTACGCACGCATTTCATTTGACGCTCTGCGAGCAAAATGAATATGTGCCCCAATATCTATTGTCAAGACTGGCCACGGGATATCCAACGTAGTCAGGCTTAAATATAGCCCATGTTTTCCATCGACAGCTGTTCGACTCGATGTTTACGAGCCATTCGCGTATCTACGAATCACTTTTATGCCGTCGTGAGATGAACGCTAGACTTCGCGCGTCGAGGTCGTCCAAAAAGTCAGACTCCAAAACTCAGACATATGTCGAAAGTGGATGCCACACCCCTGAGAGCTCTATAGTGACGATGACTACACAGCGCCTGAATAATTTCCACGGAATTACAAAATAGCGCGCGATAACGTGTATTTACGCAACGCCGCGAAGCTGTAAAGCTGTAATTGGAAGGCGCTGGCCATAAATCGAAAAAGCATCGCGGATTACGAGCAACATGTTCCCGCGAGAAGGATAAATTTAGATTGAGATTTATCGATTCGACTCGGCAAACGATCATCCTCCTCCCCGCGATTATACGATTGTCAACGCCCACGACCGCCGACAATTTTATACTTATTGACCGCGAACTCGGTGATCATTGAAAAAAGAACGTGGAAATAAGTCTCGCGTTACGTAACTCGCGCGATTAAAAGATACGGAAATAAAAAAAAAATCCGTTCAATAGAGCGAAAATAGCACTGTCCTTTGCTTACCATTTCTCTTTGAAATACGAGAAAAGGTGAATGCAGATGGAAGATATATAACGCGCATGAGACAAAGCTCAAGCACGTAACCTTCAACTTTTTCAGCAGGATCGCATCATCGTTTCTATATTCGCAGAAAGAGCTAACTCGTTTATTTATGCTCATGGGGTTCGGCATAAAACTTTGACACACGTCCAAGATGAAAA